TGTTTAAAAGCCATTATCAAGCAATGGCTAGTCAAGCCTTAAGGAAATGATGTCTAAGTATAGGGATCCACATCTAACCTTGAAAGGCTAAGGGTTCATTCTAATCCTATGGAATGTTTACTGATGTGTGGGGACTCACACCTGGCCCACAAAGCTTGAGGGTTGTTCTAAGGAAATTATACCACTTTGGAACTCATTTCTAACCTTGAAAGATTTTAGTTTCAAGGTTGATTGAACTACAAAGGTGCCTAAAAGTTGTTATCCAACACTAGCTAATCTTCTTCTTAGAGAAGGATACCTAATTGTGTGGAACACCTATTCCTAAAGAACCAATTGGATTTAAGTGATGGATAATTTAAGAAGGCATCTAAAAGGTGTTATTGAATACTAGCTAACCTAACTAAACTAGGAAGGTGCTTAAAAGTTGTTATCCAACACTCGCTAGTCTAATTCTAAGGGAAAGATGCATAAGTGTAGGGACCTACTCTTATGCCTAAAGAACTAATAGGATTTATTGAATGAATAAACTAGGAAGGTGCTTAAAAGGAATTATTTAACACTAACTAACTTAAATAAACTAGAAAGATGCTTACAACATTATCCAACACTTAGTAGTCTAGTCCAAAAGAATAATTACTTTCATCTATCCTTAAAGGAGTAAGATTTCTAAGGAAAGGATGTTGTATAACTAAGACTCGCACATTTCTTAAAAGAGGATGGTTGACTAGGAAAAACTTTAGGAACTAAATCCTAAACTATACCCATAACTACTTATGGAAAAGGGGTCCTAGGACCGATGTCCTAACTAGTGCTTCTTAAGACTAAAATAAAAGACAAGCAAACTTAAGGACATCGTAAAATATCAAATGAGAATACTTTTAGATTTAAAATTTTCAATTTGAAGTTTGATCTTCCCTTTCCATCATAAAAGCCCCTAACAACTTACAAAATATTATATTAGGGATCATTAGTTTTTGTAAATGTATTTTCTAGAAAGGGAGAGGAGAAGGAAAAAGAAATTATGAATTTTGATTTTGATTTATTTTGAACCACGAGGATTTGAAGTTTTTCTTGAAAATTTTAACTCTTTCTCACATCTGTACAAATAAAGATAACCATGTATTACTTACAAAATATTCCATTACATAATATTTATTTTTATACAAGTTAGCACATTTTGAGGATAAGAAAGAGTGAATAGTTTGATCATTTATGGTAGATGAGAATTTACCAAAAAATTTTAACCACTCATAAGAACTTTTTGAATTGATATGTAACATTTAAGACCCAATCTATCATGAAAATTTTGAGTAATCATAGATTTTCTAGCCAACATGAATTTGAATTTTTATTTAAATTTAACTCTAGAATACATATAAGGATAATATATTTTCAAATAATTTTTGTTGAGGGAACTCAAAGGACATCCACCCTTGTAATCAACTAGTTGGTAAGGTCCTCCTTTGTAGACTTTCTCTACAAACATTCACATAGGCTCAAAATTGCTTCCCATTCTATGATGGGCTAAGATAGGTACTTGAAAAACCAAGACCAAGTCTCCTACTTAGAAAGTTCTAGGATGCAAAATTCTATTATGTTCTTGAGTCATGTGTGACTTATATAACTCAAGTTTTGTTGAGCCTGCTGATGTTTCTCTTCTAAACCTTTGAATCTATCCAACCAAAGTCAGACATCTCTTCTAAACCCATCGCTCAACTACAATATCTCTGACTACCGTCTCCCAACTATAGCCCATTGACTCTCGTCGCCCTACAACCTCTATCATCTAACTAATCTCTTAGACCACTATTGCCTGAATATGGTCTTTCCAGACTCCATTACCATACTATGACTACTCTAAACACCATCACCTGACAATGGTCCCTCCTACATGTGTCACTCGACTAAGATCCTCTGATGAAAGTCAAACAAACATGCCAACAATATCTTAAGAATAGCTCTCATGTCACTTAGTTCTGTCAAGTTCAAACATATAATGTGCTATATACAATATATATTTATGATATTATGTCAATACCTTATCTTGAGGAAGAATATGATGTTCTCCCAACAATATCTTTTGAGGAATAAATCATTAGTGTATCCAGATGCTAAAATTGATGATTACCGGTACGGATGTTCTGACAAAATTCTGAAACTGGGTGACAAAATTGCTCTGTCTGACTCTCTCTCTCTCTCTCTCTCATTCGACTCTCACCGAAAAAGCAAACTCCCTCGTCGAAAACCTTAGGTCGTCGATGGATTCTCAGATCCTGGAGGCCCTGGCCCTTTCATTCGTTGGCGGCCTCAATACATTGGCAGGTTTGACCATTCATAGATTCTTATATTGTTGTTGTTGGGATGTCGGTCTGAGGGTCTTCTTGGTTTTTATGAAGCTGTTAACCATTCGCTCAGTTTATTCCGCGAACTAGCGGTTTCTATCTTATCCAGTTCCTAATTCGCGAGTCGTATTCTCAAACCACTTCAGAATTCATATGCTCCATTACACGTTCATTGATATCGATTCAGTTCATTTTGAAATTCAATTTATTTATATGTTTCAAATTTATTGCAAATATTTTGGCCATCAATGGATACTGTCAGTTAAAGGAAATGATGAGTAGGGCTGCAAACGAACCGAGCCGAGCCGAGTATGTGAGTGTTCATGTTTGTGTTCATTTAATATCAGCTTGTTCAAGTTTGGTTCATGTTTGTTCGAGCTTTAGCATTTGTTTTCATATTTGGTTCATTTAAATTATAGAGTGTTCATGTTTGGTTCATGTTCAGTTCATGTTCGTTCGTTTAGTGTTTATCAAGCTTGTTCGTGAACATATTTAACGAATTTTTTTAACTGTCAAACAAACACGTTCATGAACATATCTATGAACAAATACATTTATAAAAAAGCAATTGTCTATGTAACAAAGGTAATGATTATTTATATCTATTAATTCTATAGTCAAATATTAATTATTTTTATCGAGCTTATTCACGAGTTCAAAATCGAACATGAATAGAGCTTTTATTGAGCTTCTTATCGAGCTTAATGTCGAGCTTGTTCACGAACTTCAAATGATGTTGTTCGCGAACATAAATGAGCCGAATGCATTAGTGTTCAAGTTTGTTTATTTAAGAGTCGAGTATTTAAAATATTGTTCAAGTTTGTTTGTTTAGTTAATTAAACAATCGCAAACGAGCTTTAATTGAATCGAACAACGAGTAGCTCGCCGAACGTTTGGTTCGCTTGCAGCCCTAATGATGAGTAAGCAGCCATTGGCTTGATCATAAATCTACAACCATTAGTTCCCTTCACTTTGAAGCTCCATTTTCATGTAAACTCTTCCACTTTATGTAAACCTGAGTTTTATTTATGATATTTCCATCTTGATTACCAAAAATTTTGAGACAATTGATATGAGAGTTTATAAGTTATGCTACCCTAGCTTACTTGCGACCGAGAATAAATTGATTTCGTAACCGCTTTTTTTTTGTTTGAATGTTCGTTTGAGATGTTTCTTAATTTTAGGAGCATTCTTATTGGTTTTTCTTGTTAGCCTAATTACTCAAAAGATGAACACAAATAAAAGTTTGTAGAATGAAAAAACAGTTGAGAAATATGAGCATTGAAGAATTTGTAGAATTGAACATGCTCCGAAGTATCTTCTTTGGTATTTGATAGCTTGTATTATGTATCAACGGGAGAATGAAATAGCTATTCTCTTCTTTTCAATAGCTATTGTTGCATAGATCCCTATGTTTAGCCGACAAAGTAAAGGTAGGGTCATGGGAAACCTAATGAGGTAGATCTAATTCTTGAAGTACTATGGTTTAATTTTATGTAACCTTTTTAGAAACTTATAATAAATAGAAACATTAATTATATTATAGATTGAAAAAAAAAGAGTTGAGTTAGCTATGAAAAAGATGCACCAAGTTAAAGCTTTAGGTTTAGATGAGTTGCCTCTTGAGATTTTGAGAGCTATGAGAGATATTATAGTAGTTTGATTAATATATATGCCGAATGGAATTTTAGATATTAGGAGGATGTTAGGTGATTGGATAATACAAATTTTGGCATCACTATTTATGAAGCTGGTTTCTAGATTTGTCATAATTATTAACAAATCAATCTTATGAGTCATTCAATGAAGTTATAGTAGTTAGGAACATTGTCTAGAAATATTATGTTTGTATTAGGGAATCAACTTGATTATATCTTAGAAATATCAATTTTGGAGAAAATTTTTGTGCTAAGATAGGTAGTGGAATACCTTGGAGAGCAAACACAGGTTCTTTATGTGATTTTTTTTTTTGTAAAAATATGGTCAATGATTCCGTATCGCACAATCAATTTAGTATGCATTGTGTAAAAAAGGGTTATGTGTGTCAAATATATGTTGAAGTTATTAAGATAAATATGATAGTGTATAGGCTAGCATTAGATGCTGTTATATATTGATAAAGAAGACTTCAATCATTATAGGATTAATATCAATGATCATTATGAAGACAATATGTTTTCTTGTAATTTCTTAAGTAACGGTCTACGGGCGCGACACTTCAATTAAATGGACAAATGACATCTGATCGCTAAACGGACTGTGTCGTTGCAATTAGAGAATCAAATTCATCTAAAAGGGAGCCCCTCGTAGTTAACTCGGAAGGCAACAACCAAAATTGGCGACCGACACCCAAAATTGATTCGCAACGCTGCCCCAACGACGTTTGATCGCGAATTTGGAGCATCGGTAATACTTAAAATTAATTGTAATTTCACCCAAAGAAATTTGCTAAGGGAAATCATTGCGAACCCCGAGGCGACGGTGCTCGAATCAAGACAAAATGGTCATTATGAGTTCTGTTATTTAATACTAATAAAATAATAATAATAATAATAATAATAATAATAATAAGAATAAGAATAATAATATTATTATTATTTATAATAACAAAATTTAAATAAAAAAATAAAAAAATGTGTCATAGCTCATATCCTGTCAAAATATCCTGTAAATCCTGCTAAAATACCTTGAAATCCTGCTGAAACCTTTGCCGGAGCTGCTTCAAGTCCCTCGTAAATCTGGTAGCTTACCTCGATTGCAGCTTCCTTCTCGCTGATAAAACTGAGGTGGAGTCCGTCCATTTTTTTTCTTCACACACTAGAGCCTTTTCCCTCACCCTTCAATCCCGATCACTAGCTACCAATCCCGTCCAACTCAACTCAATCGGCCTTCCCGTCGTCATCTTCTCTTGCCGAAACCCTCTACCGAAATCTTGAATTCACCTCACGACCTTGTCTGTTTTGCAAGACGTTCCATCTCCACAGCACACAACTACACCGAGAAACCTTCTTCGCTTATGATCTCTTCTTCTCGAACACTCAGACAACTTCGTAACTCATTGCCATGTTCTATCCAAAAGCATCTACCTGCCTCTTCATCTCACACAACCGATCCCGACTATAGTCCCATACCACTTACCCCGTTCTTCCCATAGCACTCCAGTCGTTCAAATGAAACTCAGCTCCTGCACTCTACCTCCCCACGTTGACTTCTGAACCCGCTTCAGCTTCCGAGCTTGTCGAACCACAACTGCAAACCTCCATACACCTTCCCTTTGATCCCACTGCAGTCCAATTCACACAATATTGGGGTCTTTTGAGGAATAAATCATTAGTGTATCCAGATGCTAAAATTGATGATTACCGGTACGGATGTTCTGACAAAATTCTGAAACTGGGTGACGAAATTGCTCTGTCTGACTCTCTCTCTCTCTCATTCGACTCTCACCCAAAAAGTGAACTCCCTCGCCGAAAACCTTAGGTCGCTGATGGATTCTCAGATCCTGGTGGCCCTGGCCCTTTCATTCGTTGGCGGCTTCAGTACATCGGCAGGTTTGACCATTCATAGATTCTTATATGGCTGTTGTTGGGATGTCGGTCTGAGGGTCTTCTTGGTTTTTATGAAGCTGTTAACCATTCTCTCAGTTTATTCCACGAACTAGCGGTTTCTATCTTATCTAGTTCCTAATTCGCTAGTCGTATTCTCAAACCACTTCAGAATTCATATGCTGCATTACACGTTCATTGATATCGATTAAGTTCATTTTGAAATTCAATTTATTTATATGTTTTAAATTTATTGCAAACATTTTGGCCATCAATGGATACTGTCAGTTAAAGAAAATGATGAGTAAGCAGCCATTGGCTTGATCATAAATCTACAACCATTAGTTCCCTTCACTTTGAAGAACCATTTTCATGTCAACTCTTCCACTTTATGTAAACCTGAGTTTTATTTATGATATTTCCATCTTGATTTCCAAAAATTTCGAGACAATTGATATGAGAGTTTAGAAGTTCTGCTAACCTAGCTTACTTGCGACCCAGAATAAATGCAAACATGCATTGTTGATTTCGTAACCGCGTTTTTTTTTTTTAGTTTGAATGTTCGTTTGAGATGTTTCTTAATTTTAGGAGCATTCTTATTGGTTTTTCTTGTTAGCCTAATTACTCAAAAGATGAACACAAATAAAAGTTTGTAGAATGAAAAAATAGTTGAGAAAAATGAGCATTGAAGAATTTGTAGAATTGAACATGCTCCAAAGTATCTTCTTTGGTGCTTGATAGCTTGTATTATGTATCAACGGGAGAATGAAATAGCTATTCTCTTCTTTTCAATAGCTATTGTTGCATAAATCCCTATGTTTAGCCGACAAAGTAAATGTAGGGTCATGGGAAACCTAATGAGGTAGATCTAATTCTTGAAGTACTGTGGTTTACTTTTATGTAACCTTTTTAGAAACTTATAATAAATAGAGACATTGATTATATTATAGATTGAAAAAAAAAAGAGTTGAGTTAGCTATGAAAAAGATGCACCAAGTTAAAGCTTTAGGTTTAGATGAGTTGCCTCTTTAGATTTTGAGAGCTATGAGAGATATTATAGTAGTTTGATTAATATATATGCCGAATGGAATTTTAGATATTAGGAGGATGTTAGGTGATTGGATAATACAAATTTTGGCATCACTATTTATGAAGCTGGTTTCTAGATTTGTCATTATTATTAACAAATCAATCTTATGAGTCATTCAATGAAGTTATAGTAGTTAGGAACATTGTCTAGAAATATTATGTTTGTATTAGGGAATCAACTTGATTATATCTTAGAAATATCAATTTTGGAGAAAATTTTTGTGCTAAGATAGGTAGTAGAATACCTTGGAGAGCAAACACAGGTTCTTTATGTGATTTTTTATTATAAAATATGGCCAATGATTCGGTATCACACAATCAATTTAGTCTGCATTGTGTAAAAAAGGGTTATGTGCGTCAAATATATGTCGAAGTTATTAAGATAAATATGATAGTGTATAGGCTAGCATTAGATGCTGTTATATTTAAGTATTCTTCTAACCTGTGTAACCAGCAGATCCAGCACTTCTTCCTACTTGTACTCTTGCTCACGCAAAGACCTATAAAAACTCTTCAACTATAAAAAAAGAGAGGTCCTTCCTCTCTGTTCTTTACTACCTCCCACACAACACAAGCAGCCTGCCATTCACTTTGAATCAAACCCATCCGGATCCACCTAGAACAGTTCCCTTAGCAGAGAAAAATATTTTAACTAAGATTTCTAATTGCCTTTTTTTATTACTATTGCTAATTATTATTATTGTTATAAAAAAGAGAAAAGAGCAAAAAAAAAAAAAAAAAAAAAAGAGTAAGATGTCTCAACTTTCAAAAAAAAAAAAAAAGAAAAGAGAAAAAGAAATTCTTTTTTCCTCACTCTTAACTCGTAACCTTCGTCGTCGCCTCTTATGCAAAGGTATAAATGTCTCAAACTCTAAAAAACTCCCAAAAATCTCATTTTCGGCTTACCGAAAAATCACCTATTCACGCTTTTCTCATGCGTGGTGGGATGGAACCCGATGAAGCGCTTGCGGCGAGGTGGGTAAGCCTTGTGCATGCTTTTCTTAGTGTAGCGGGGTTAAATTTAAGTATCCGTGTACGTGCCTCAAAACTCCCAAAAATCTCATTTTCGGTGTACCAAAAAATCACCTATTTACGCTTTTCTCAAGCGTGGCGGGATGGAACCCAGTGAAGCGCTTGCGTTGAGTTGGGTAAGCCTTATGCATGCTTTTCTTAGCATAACAGGGTTAAATTTAAGTACCCGTGTACGTGCCTTAGTGCATGCGGGGAATAGCTGTGTTTTTGGACAGGTACCCCTGAAGACCCATGCACGTCTTTCTCTAGCGTGGTGGGATCAAAGACCATGGCCAGGTGTCATCCGACACTGACCATGCAACCCTTTCTCTAACGTGGTGGGTAGGCTAAGACTTCCCAAAATTTTCCTAAATGTGTGAGACGTTGAGACGTTGCCAAAATTCAGAGTGAAAATACACGTAATGTAGAAAAATAACAAGGGACCTGACTTGAACTACATGAAACTGAATTTACAGATTATTAAAATACAGGGAAGTTGATTTAACACTTTAAATAAATTCGGCAAATCATAAAATAAAAAAATTGAATATAAACATGCAAGCAAAGACAAATGGTAAACAAACCCTCAGATGCACACAAATGATAAACTAGGAAATTAAAATGACTTGAATATTCAATCAAATCAACATTTAAATAAGAGCAATTGCTGTTCATATCGGTCATGCGAGCAAGTACAACTGCCATTACAAGTAGAGAGATTCGACATGCAATGAGCATAACAATTGATACATTTGATGAGTTTGAAGTGATTGAAGTCCATGTACAGTCAATGACATTGAAATAAGTACATTAATTGGCCAACAAGCAATAGGCTGTGAACATAGTAATTTCCATACGATTGAGGTTAACTAGCTTGCAAAATTCATACAACAGTTCTCACAAACACTGAAAGATGCGTAAGTAAACATGTCAACTTGTCAATCAATATGCATGGGAGAATTAGTGGTGAATGCAACTCACTTGGAAATTAGCATTAAATTGCAGATGAACACACGTTCGCCTGCGAATAATGACACTCCTTACAAGATTAACTTGCAAGCAGACACATCAAAATAATGAGGGTCAACAAACTACAAACATGACAGTTTCCAGCCAACATGAATAAGGAATGCAAATTGTATAGAGGCATCAAACTTATGATGAATGAGAATACTTACAAGCAATAGTAGATGACCTATCATATGCATAACAGCTTACATGCAAATTGAAATAACAAATTCAAGTGAATATAAGGTTCTAATAATCACAATAGGAAGCTCGTCATATACGTAGCAGAGTGCTTATGGATAGTAGTTGGAGATCTGAAATGTATATAATAGTCTACACATAGATGATAGCAATCAATAGATAGTGAGTTCTATGACACCCTTGCAGTCAGCGACCATTCAATGTCAGGCAAATACATTAATCCCCTGCAAGCAAAGGGGATTGATACGCAATATATGCAAACACGTACGAACCGTTGTAGAAACCCATCTGATACACAATATGCTATCTACAAGCAAGCACAAAATCCTATGATGAATGCAAACATATACGAGAAATTACAGGAGATTTGTTTGTGTACGATAGTCTACCTGCAAAAAGCAATAACTTACATGTAGTGCAACACTATAATTCACCTGCAAGCAGAAGCAGAGAATTTGTAGTAAAAATTCCTGAGCACTAGTGGAGGATTCTTGACGTATCATATAATATATCTGCAGGTAGAAGTACATCCTTGCATGTTGAATACTGAGGAAAATGACAACATGCAGGAGATGAAATGAGCCAAACTGCATCACCAGTGTACGACAGATGAAGTCCATACACTACTGAACAATGCCGTTGGATTTGCAACATCCGTACAAGCTTATTGAAGGCATTTACAGGCTTCTAATTGGAATACTGTGCACACCCATATAGCAATCATTCATATAGCTGATCAATATCAAATACTTTAATATACCTTACCACATGTATTTGCAATATGCAGAGGGATTCATTTAAGCATGCCATTAGCATTACATTTACATGCAAGGATATCACACATGACCAGCCGATTAGTATCAAAGACTTTAAAAAGCCTTCCCAAATGTATTTGCAATAAGCAGAGGGTTTTATTCAAGCATGCCATTTATCATTGCATTTACATGCAAAGATATCACACATACGCAGCCGATTAGTATCGAAGACTTTAAAATACCTTCCTGCATGTATTTGTAATAAGTATAGGGTTTCATTCAAGCACCTTGTTCAGTATTGCATTGACATGCAAAAATATCACACGCTACATCATGTAGATAGTGTGCAAATATATATGCCAACATACATGCATACATGTAAATGTATAAATACATACGTTAGCATGTCAACATGTAGATGTATTGCATACATCCATTACACTGCATATATATAATCACTATATACATACATAGTATAAAATACATGCAAAATCTTATACTCGCTTGTGCCCCGACGAGCGTGATGTGTGTCCATATATGACATCCAAGGATATTGCGTAGGTCAAGAAATGAACTTAAGTTCAAACCCGGTCCTTCTATGTGAATATATATGAGTTAACACGGCCCGAATTATCAAACAAATATACCGTCGCATCATCGACCAGGATATTTGTTTTATATTTTTATATTAGGCCTTCATGGTCTATAACAAAGAAAATTCACTAATATATGCATACAACCAATTATGAATTCCATCTTATGTCGGTAAGTTGATAGATTCAACAAGGTTTAACAGACAAAATGAAATTGCCCATAAAAATTCTAATGACGGCCGTGTTGACAGAAAAGCTCAACTGGAGGGGACCTCAAACATTCAAATTGCCTCCCAAATTCCTGCAAAAAAATTAAAACTAAAAACTCACCAAAACCTAAAATATTAAAAATTGAAATAAAATACCGAAATACTTAAAACAAAACTCATCAATCCTCCGCAACAGTTTGTCAAGGTTGTCAAATATGAAATTATTTCAACTCACAAAGAGTAAAAGTCTGGTCGAGAATATCATTTAATTCTTTCTCAAATTGTCTCTTGCTAGTAAGGACGTGACACATATCCTCTAACTGGTTGTTTCACCACCAAATGATACAACATTAAACTGTTATGACCAGGACCCTTTGATCCGATGATTTTTGCCGCCAAATTGCACCATTAAATTATAGTCATGGCTAGAGCTCGTATGTTTCCCAACAATGTTAAATTATTGAGTAATGAATCAATAAGATATGACCGATATGGCACAAAGCCCTTTGTTAGCTAAGGTGATTTTAAAATTGTCTCCTTTGACAAATATTCACCCCATGTCTACAAGGTACCTTTGCACGAATCTCCCATGGTTGCCGACAAGGATTCTTCGGTCAGATTGGGTTTACCACCTCCTATGACTAAGTAGATCAATGATCATGATAACTGGGACGATTGAACCACGAGATCCTGATCAGGTCTATCATTACTCCCCCCCACCATCTCCTTAAGTGCAAAGTGGTAAATTTCCAATTTTAAATATTAAATTTTCAAATACCTAAATCATGCTATTACTATATGCCGGGTACTACATATCTATTTGACAATTAGCCTTAATCGAAAGTTCTCTTAAATCATTGGTAGAGGCAATTAACTATAGAGGTTTGAGCCTATAGGATACCTGAACTTAGGATCATAAAGTCCTCGCAAAATGAGGGTGAAATATCTAGGTAATGTCTTATCTACAATACAATCTCCCTTATTAAAATTTGCCTCAGAACTTGTTTAAATTGTCCTCGACGATTCGAAGAAAAGAAAGGGGTCGCGTAGAGTCTGGGTCACGAATTTTTGGTGCGCATAATTATTTGCAAATAATAGTTCTAATAAGTGAAAGGTTTTGTGAAATAACTGGAGAGTTAGGACATTAGAGAAATTTTGTTGAAGATGCACGGCTTAGAGTTAATAGAATAAGAACTAAACATTTGCCATACAATTTTGCGTACGGTATACAGATTCAGTTGTGAAGTTGACAATTATGAGTTAGTTTTGCTTAATATATTTTGCTCTAAGATGTTAAGTTTTTTTGGTTTATTGTATAGAATAGTCAGATATAGATGAGAGTGCAGCTTCTAGAGTTATGATAGTGATTAAAAAATGAGAAGTGTATTAATAGTATCATGTAATCCGAGAATATTATGGAGACTTAAGGATAAATTTTATCAAACAATGATTAAACTTCGATATGTTATATGAATTTGATTGTTGGCTTAGGTTGCTGTTGGAAAGATACTTGAAGTTATTCAATTTACTATTGTCTCAAGTATTTCTTAAACGGTAATTGAAATTTGAATATTCATTTATTACTTTTTCTGACCATATTCATTCATCTGATCATCTTGGATTTTTGCAGAAATTATAAGGTTTATTATGATTCCTCATAACTTTTGAAACATAATCTCCTTGACGTTTTTAACATTACTTCCAAAAACTTTCCTTTTGCACAATGTTATGTACCATATTGTGGGAATTCCTTAGGATACTTGCTCTCAAAAGTTTTATCGATGCCTGTGGATATTCAATTTTCCTTTGTTTTAAAACATCAGGATGTTCTAAAATTTCACGTTACTTCTTAATTGTAAAGGTGCTCTACTTGTGATTCTAAATCCTACCCCAAACCTTAAGATGCTCGGGCTTCTGCAGGTGATCTACTTATAGATGAATATTATGGAATATATATTCTGGAACTTTTAACTTTTTTGAATGCTAAATGTGATGGTCTTATCATTCCTTTAATCAGGGTTTTGCTGCTGGTCTTATGCTGAGCATATCCTTCTTTGATTTGGCACATAATGCTCTAAATTCAATAGGCTTTTTGAGGGGAAATCTTTGGGTAGGGTTACCATCTAAACCGTCACTTATGGATTTGATGATGCCTTGCTGGGATATAAATGCTTCGTTTTTTGATTTTTTTCTTTGTTTTACAGCTTGCTCCATTTTTCTCTTTGTTTGTTGCAGTTCTTTGCTGGAGTTCTGTTTTTTGCTTTTATTGTCAACTTCATTCCTGAACCAACAGCTACTGCAGAGGCAAATAATATACAGGTTTTAATGATTATAATTCTTTCTTCAAACAAAATTTACCATGTTTATATGAATTATAGGTTCTTTATTTTTTAAAACTATGTTCTTATTAATCTTGATATTTTGTTTGGTTTTTAGCCAAAAGTGATTATAGTTTCCTTAATTTCCTTACCTTTTTTCAAAATTGATAGAAGGATGATGATGGGTCAGGCAAAGATATGATGAAGAAACATCGGCGGGATGTACTATTTAGTGGAATCATAACTGCAGTTGGTAAGTTGTTTGGCATGGCTTGTGGATTTTTTTATTTATTTTAAAGTATGATAATGAAAAGAGTTTTTATCAGTTAGTTGATTTTTTTGTTTGACTACAACTTTTGCTTGTTCCCTTTATGTCAGTGTTGGTTCTTTTGTTCAATCAATTTAGAATCCAAAAGCACGGGATATAATTTTTTGGTTTACGAGGTCTCTATCTTTTTTTCTGCCTGCCTATACATATATCAATTTAATAGGCCTGGTAGCAGCAACATTGATGATATTTATGCCTTTCCATTCTATTTTATTAACGAACTTTTAATCTTCTGCAAAAGAAATTAAGCTATTTTTTTTGTAAAAGAAAAAATTAATGGAGTTGCAAAGTATTTTATAAAATAATCTGAAAGGCAAGGTTCAATCTAACTCTCAGATGTTTACATGTTAATGCTTTATGCTTGCATGAGTTATCTTTTGTGATTTTGAAGAGTTATGAGAGTGTTAAAGGATTATACATGCTTAAAGACTTTTTAGGAGAAGTCTTAATATTAAGAGAAAGCGGATATGGAATGATTGGACAATAAGCACTTTAGTGCCAAGTTTTAATAATATACGAAATTACGAATATGTTTAATTTTGATCAATAATGGGGCATAAGCTCACGAGTCATATCATAAATAAATATAAGAGAGTGAAAAGAACAAAGACCATGAAAAATCCCATTGGTATTTAGAATTCAATTGTTTATGCCATAAAATATGTTATGGAGATGAATTTTATGCTAAGGAGAAAAATGAAATAAAAAAAAAAAGCAGTTTCATTTGGTTATATTGACCTAACAAGGCATTTCAATTGCCATAAAATGGACAGCGCCAACCCATCCGGAGCAACGAAAAAAGCTATGATTGACATCCATATTGATTGGGATCGCCGATCGGCAAAAATTTAAATTTTGCATGCATGAAACGAGGCGACGACAATCGAATCGATGCACGATTAATAATTTTTAAGACCATATAATTATAAATAATAATTTAAAGAGGGAGAGAAAGAGAGGTTTAAAAAAATAGTAGAAAAAAAAAAAATCCTAAACTACCCCCACTTAAACCCCTTACTCATTCCCTTATGCACTCACTCACCCAACCTGCCCCTCACCTCATCTCACGACACTCACGAATGCAAGACCCCTCTCCCATAAGAGCTCTATCCTCCATCCTCTTCCCTCCAAGCTCTCAAAGGTAACTTCTCCTCCCTCTTATTCTTCTTCTCCTCCATTCTTCTTCTTCTTCTTTCCACTTCTTCTTTCTTGTTCTTTCATTTCCCTTTATTTTCTCCTCTTCTTCTGTTCATCTCTTAATATTCTTCTTCCTCCATATTTCCAAAACCTTTCAAAAACCATAACCCTAAAAATTTATTTCTCCACATCCATTCCTCAAATCCCCACTCCCTTCACAAAAAAAAAAAACTCCCCTATACATCCTACAACTCCACCAAAAAGCACCCTCATCCCCACTTTCTCTATCTCTAGAAAGAGAGAGAAATCCCATAAAATTTTCCTCAAATACCTTATCCAACACCTACACATCCTCCCACTCGCATTCATGTTTTTCCCTTAATTTAGAGAGAAAAAATTCATCTCTTTCTCTCTAAAATTTGAGAAAAAGACGTGTTTTTCCTCTCTAACACTCCCGCCTCATCCCTACCATATTCCCATGCACATCCTACACATCTTCCACCAATAGTCCTCTTTTTCCCTCTCTTTCTCTCTCTAGAAAGAGAGCTCACCCTCTCATATTCTCTCTCTAGCCTTTTATTTTAAATAAAAATGTATATATGCATAATTAAATAGCATAAATGATAACAAAAAAATTACATTGTGCTTCACAGGTCAGTCGTCGTCGTCGTCGCCTTTGTCACAGCACACTTAAGGTATAAACATGATAGTAGTATTTCACAAATTATATGCATGCAATATAATTACTCGTGACCGCTTTTATTAGCGAGCAAAAAAATATAAGTACCTGTGGCTGTTTTTTTCAAGCGAGCGTGAAAATTCATATCAATGAAATATAATTACCCGTGTCCGAGGAAATTCTTATGCATGAAATATAAGTACTTATGATCACTTTTATTATCGAGCGTGAAAATTTGTTATATATGAAAAAAACTTAAGTACTAATTATTGATTTCTTTAGCAGGCGAGGAAATGATTTGTTTTAAATAAGTATTTGAAGACCCCCTGATAGCTTTTATTGGTGAACAGGGAATGAAATTTCGGCTGCGTTGTAGCCTGACACTTACTCTGATTGCCTTTCTTGGTAGACGATAAGGTCTTATACACTCGATGCAACCCCTTTCACGGTGAGGACGTCATGGTGTTGCCGAAATTTATAGTAAATTTTGTGAATTAGAAAAAAAATTTAAAGAAATTAAAAGAAAATATCTACCCTGATCCCTAAGTCAATAAAATATAAAATGTATGTCATCCTAAATTCTCAACACTAAAAGCAAAGATGAATGAAATTCTAGGCAATAACAGAATACAACTTACAACGAATGGGTAGGAGAACTAGTTGTTCACCAACGGGTAGGAATCGAGCCTCCATCCTATTTACAACATAACATTTAAATTATTTGTGTTCCTCGCCAGCCTAGGATTCTCTTACTAAAAGATAGAGAAAGTATGCCTATAGGCCTCGCTAGCCTAGGATCCCTTTGCTAAAAGACAGAGAAGGTACACCTGCGGGGCCCACCAGCTTAGAATCCATATTTAAAATGTGTCAAGATGCTATTTTAAGGCTCTAGCTTTGGATTCCTCGAGTATTTTCCAGTGGGTGAAATACGAGTGCAAATACACCTGAATACCAGAGGTAATTATCTTAAAGTATGCATATTGAACAAGCATAAAATGCATTGAGTGCTATGTAAGCACATGATGCAACATACCAATACTACAAATGCATTATTTACCTGTGTATGTGCATTATGTCAATATACCTTACAAATGTATTATGCATATTCTACAACCATACAAATCATTATGTAGACGTATTATTTTTGTCAAGTAAATGTATTATGCGTCACTTATATGTACATCATATCAATCCTCATGGTACATTATGTTAATCATGCAAATGCACATGCAAATATATAAATACGCATATAAGTATGCAAATAAATCAGACGTATTTATTGTCCCATACTCAGATACACCATATACATGTTCTGTATCGTATGCAAATATATTATGTGTATGTATAATACAATATATAGATGTAGCATGCATACACGCCACACAACAAATCAATGCATAATGCAAGATACATTGAAAAGCATGCTTATGCATATACCTCAATGAGCGTGACACATACACGTGAAGTCTGAGGATGCTACGTGGATTGAAAAGTAATGTGTTTTCATGCATGTAAACACACACCAAATATTAATATAGATGTACGTACAAATGTATAATTATGTAAGATGCACTGAAAAGTAAATACCCGCATGTGGTCCGACAAGTGTGTTACACTTCTAAACCCTTACTTCAGAATGCTGCGCGGGTCAGAAATGAACTTAGGTTCAAGTCTGATCCTTTTCTTTGGATGGACCAGAGTTGACACGACTTGAACCATCGAACAAATACATAGTCGTAGTGCCAACCTGAGCATTTTATTTCATATGTTCATATTAGGCTTTCAAAGTATATTACAAGAAATATTGACTACTAAAAACATCAAATCTCTGGACCATCACTCGTGAAATCAATCTAAATATTTTTATACGTTCATATTAGGCCTTTAAGGTCTTTTATAAAGAAAATTCATTCATAAAAATATATATTCTCAATTCTGATATGTATACGACAACTCCTAAAATTAAGAGTTTGACCTGACCCTCTATTTGAAAGCAAATAGAGTTGACAAGGTTTAATTAATGAAATGATCATATTCATAAATCTCCGATAATGACCGTGTTGAAAGCTAATCTCAATCGGAGGAGACTTTATTTTTTAAATGCCTCCTAAACTTTCATAAAAATTCAAATAATTTTAAACTATTTTAACATCACCCCGATGGTGGCCGTGTTGAAAGCTAATATCAATTTGTGGAGACTACTTTTTAAATGCCTCCCAAACTTTATGAAAATATAAATATTTTTAAATGACTTTAACGCCACCCCGTGATGATTGTGTTAAATGTAAATCTCAATTAGAGGGGTTTCTTTCACTAGTATTCATTCTCAATCTATTACTTGCCAGTAAGGACGTGGCACGTGTTCTCTAACCGGTGGTTGCGCTGCCAAATGATACCATGTGTAAACATTTATGACTGGGACTCTCTGACAGGGTGATTTTGCCGTCAAATGACACCATTAAATTATGATTATGGTTGGAGCCCGTATGTTTCCTAACGACATTACATCATTTAGCAATGAATCAATATAATATGATTGATATAGCACAAAATCATCTGTTTGCTAAGTTGGATGCAAATTTGTCTATTTATATAAATATTTACCTCAAATCTACAAGGTACCCTTGGACGAAGCAGCCCATGGATGTCGACAAGGATCCTTCTGTCAGGTTGGGTCGACTACCTCCTCTGACTATGTAGACCAGGGACCATGATTACCCGGCACGACGAACCATGGGATCTTGATCAAGTTCATCTTCATTTCCCAACCATCCGCTTTAAGTGCAAGGTGGTGAATTTTTTATTTTAAATATTAAATATTCAAATACATAAATCATGCTGCTACTATATGCCAGATGCTTTGTATCTGTTTGACGACTAGCTTTAATCGAAAGTTCTCTCTTGGTATTGAGAGGGTTAATTAACTATATATGAGCTTGCTCTATAGGAAACTTGAACTCAGATTATAAAGTTCTTGCAAAATGAGGGAGAAATCTTTGGGTAAAGTCTTATCTAAAACCCAATATATCTTTTGAAAAATTTCCTCAAAACTTAAGCGCTAAAATTCTCCTTGATGACCCAAAAAATGAAAGAAAGGGTCCATGGAGAGGCTAGGGCTCGAATTTTTGGAGCCCACAAGATGCTTAAAATAGATATTTGATATGGAGATAGCTTAGTATATGCTATTAGCAGATGATTACAATTTTCATAAGCAAGGTTTTCTCTAGGATATAATACAATTTGAAAATTATTGATAGCTTTTGAGGTTTATAGTCACGATTAATAAAACAAAAATTTATCTATATTTTTTTTTTCAGTTGAAATGGAATTAATTATGACCAAATAATGTTGGGCATCAAAATGATACCTACGAGTAGTACGCTTTTATACTTGTTTATGGTACAAAGAGGAACATGTATTGAAAATAGGATATAATTGGTAGAATAAAAGCCGAGTGATTAAAATGGACAATTGGTCATGAGTATTATGTGATAAGATAATAGAATTGAAACTTAAATATAAATTTATTGAAAAGGACTAGCTAGATATCTTAATATGTTATTAAAATGGACAAGTGCCCATGAGTATTATGTTATAAGATGATAGAATTGAAACTGAAATGTAAATTTATAGAATAGAAGGATTAGTTAGATATCTGAATGTGTGATGGGCAACATAGAAAGTTTTACCTGAGTGTGTCAGAGATGAAAATATTAAGGATCATGTGGTAAAACTAGGAAGAATTATGCGGAAAATGATTTAATTAAAGAGGTTGTAGGAGTAGCAGCTATTAGGAAATTTTTTAAGAATTTTACTTTGGTATTGTAAGAATTTTACTTTGGTGATTTTGACATGTGCTGTATCATGTAGAAGATGCACTAATAAGCTGGAAGATTAAAAGGCATGAGAAAAAAAAGAGTTGGACAAAGATAACTTGGCTAGAAGTTATGAAAAAAGACCTACAAGAGCTAAAATTAACAACTTAGTACACTTAATATGAATGAATGGATAAGAAGGATTGATAAAAATGACTTAAATAGTTCAAAAATTGTAAGTGTTATTGATAAAGTTTTAAGCATCCTGCTATCTATTATTAGCTAACGGTAATTTTTATGAATGCCAGATGGGTGGAGAATGAGTGTCATGATTCTTATTTTTAAGAATAAAGAAGATGCACAAGACTGTGCGAATTATAGAGGAATTAAGTTGATGTTTCATAATTTAAAACTATGGGAAAGAGTTATGGAGCATAGGTTACGATGTGATACTAATGTTTCTCAAAATCAATTTAGATTCATGTCAGGTAGGTTTACTATGGAAGCTATACATTTATTATGAGGTTTAATTGAGAAGTATAGAGAGAATAAGGAGGATCTACATATGATATTTATTGGTTTAGAGAAAGCGTCTGATAGAGTTTCAAGAGAAGTTCTATGGAAAGTTCTAAAAAAGAAAGGAGATAATAATGCTTATATACAAATCATTTAGGATATATATGCATGAATTATTACTTGTGTTCAAATACAAGGTGGTTTGACCAAGTATTTTTCTATTTCAGTTGGATTACATCAAGGATCAGCTTTAAGCCCATATCTTTTTTCTTTAGTCATTAAAGTTCTTACAATAATTTGCAAAAGGATTACCCCGATTGCTACTATACATCTGGTGTTCCATGAGTTACAATTGAGGAGAGCTATGGATGATCAGACATTCAATTCAAAGTTATCCAGGACATAGATCGAGCATATGGAGGTGATGTTGGAACCATTAGTGCTAAAAGGGGACAAGATAGGGTTTATAGCAAGTTGAATAGATATCTGCTTGGACTGAGATCCAGCCCCCTTTGGGGTGGGGGCCAGGGAGAAAATTCAAGCGCTGGGGGGGTGGGGCTGGGCGTAGGAAGGAAAATTTGAATGGAGAGAGTTTTTTTGAGATTTGCTATGTTTTGTCTGTTTATGTAGATTGTTTACTCTAGGGTTAGGGTTATGTTATGTTTTGATAAATTTAGTTTTACCAAGGTTTAGAGAGCTCTAGCCGATGGTTAGGGATTTGCGTGAGTGGGATCTTCCACTCGAAGTGAAGAGCCAATTATATCTTGTCTTTCTTTTATTGCTATTTCAATAAAAAATGTTTGTGTTCTTTTTCCTATTTCCAATTTCTGATTTTTGCTGAAATTAAATTTCAGCAAGAAATTTCACAAATTCTACATCCACTTCTTATCAGCTGACTAAATGCTTTTGTTTCATTATTGTTTTTTTTTTTTTAATTTCGTATAATATATTTCATGCGGTTCCCTATGCATTTAATTATTGTGGGTCATGTATTTTTTAATTAAGCAATCTCCGTAGTTACCTGATTAGTTGGAATTTTGGCAAATAAGCGTATGTAGTTTATCCTTACTATTCTGCACAGTGCTACATTTAGTTTCCTCATTTAATGCTAATTATTTCTTTTTTACTATTCCCAGGGATTAGTTTGCATAATTTTCCTGAGGGAATGGCAGTTTTCCTGGGATCACTAAAGGTACCGTGTTCTTTATCCTATCATAATAAATTACGTCTAATGCAAAACATTTTCCCTTGGTTTATGCAATGATCCCTTGATAGTTTGGATTGGGCTGATACTTAAAAGATGTTAAACTAAACAACCTTTGCTACTGGTTGAATTCTTGTTCAAGAATAGGCATTAGCGTAAGCCAATGTGCTCCTGTTTATCATCATCTGAACCCTATTTGGGGTCAGTGCCACCCCATCCCATGTTCAAGTTTGTAAATGTCTTCTTAGAGATTGATGCGTGGGATTCTCTTTTATTAGTGTTTGAACCTGATTAATGCTTTTGTTATCTACTGTTATTCCTGTATTTGTTTCTTATTTATCATGAAATTATGTGGTTTTATGGTCAAATTTTTTATTGATCGTATGAGTAGAGATTGGCACCATTATTTATACTCCAGTTTTTAAATTTTAGCGACACCACGATAATTCTATGTTTTCTGTGATATCACTGAAAATTGCCGAAGCTATTTGATAGGGGAGATGAAACACCTTTGCTTATTTCTTTTGTAAATGAATCTTTTTCTCTTAATTCTTCTACGTAAATGAGGTGTCAATGAAAGAATGTTTATGTTAGAACCTGAGGTTATAATGTAATAGTGCATTTTTGAAGAATTGAGACCTATCTTTGAAGAATGATAAGCTTTTGATGTGTCTGGTTCCTGAAACCAACTCATTTCTGTAATCTTTCGAATAAGATAAAAAAGGATCCGTTTTCAGTTAATTGTCAGCTATGGTTGGTAATTCCATATAAGAGATCTGTTTATAAAATGCAGGACTTGTTCATGATTTTTGATCATGAATACTAATTATTTAACTTTATCTCTTATTTTTGATTATTTACTTCAGCTTTAAAATGCTCAGGGACTTCGTGTTGGCCTTAATTTGGCTCTGGCAATTGCTTTGCACAACATTCCTGAGGTAAGTATTCATCTATCATTTTTAATCTTCAGGATTTCTTTTGAATGTTAATTCTTTGTATATTTGATTGTTATTTTTCCTACTGTGAAACATGGTGAAAAAAACTTGATGGATTAGGTATTTGGTGTAGCAATTGCCATTGAAAGCGTGTGCCTGGTTGCATTTAATGATTTATTTTTTATCTCTTTTGTCGCATGCTGTTTATACTCAACAAATATGATGGTGATGCATCAGATCTTGATTGTGCTCATATACTTCTAAAGATTATATCTATTAACAATTTAATAATGTGTGGAAAAGGAATGTTCATAATGATGATGACAAATAAATGAGATAGGGCCAATGATGATGATTCCTATAATGACGTGCCCAACATAATTCATGCTTGAAATTATGCAATATATGGGGATTCCACAAAATCTTGTGTTGAGCATACATTAGTGGGGTGGAAGCTTAAAAAACAATAAAATAAGAGATTTTGTAACTTGGGCAGTTTGGATCACATTGCTTTATGCCAGTTACATGCCCACATTACCCCTTCTATCTATTGTTGCCATGTAGAATTGCCCAAGAATTATCTCCCTAACATGTCATTTCAGAAGCATGGGCTTCCACATACAGGATATTGTAGTAAATATCAACGGGCTACCCTTGAAAAATACTGGTGAATACAAAGGAATAATTAAAGTATGTATGTAGTTCACGATTGATTCGGGCAAGCACGATAAGAACATTGACCAACTGAAGAGATGATGCAACAAATGAGTCCAAAATGGCTCGATTGTGGTTATAATAACTCAAACGGTGTCCGTTGGTAAAATGGACTACGTCGACGCACCCACAGTGCCAATATTATCAATGAAAGATCCCCTTACGGTCGATTTGATTGAACATACCGAAAGTATCAAATGCTAGGTGTGACTTCACGTAAAAAATTGTACGAATGTCATCCATTCATAAAATGTACTACGCAAATACGTCTTGAAAAAACCGAAAACATCCTACAATCACTTTGATCGCTTGTGGTGGAAATAGCAAACTACAAATGTTATGTCATGCATTAGTCACTTGAATGTTACCTATTTGCAAAATAAACTGTACCAACACATTTGGAACATAGAAATTATATAACAAGGATACTCATATTGCCAAAATTGCAACACTATGCAAAAGCACAAAATTTACCTATATGTATGCGAGCGATGAAAATTGTGGGTCAAAACTGATGTAGGCATCTCTAATCAAGAAAAATACTGTGGGTCTGAAAACTCGCGGCCCGACCTCTCCACAGCCTCTTTCTCTCTTTTTCGGGTTGTAGATAAGATTTTAACGAGTATGTTCTGAGGCAAATTTTCAGAAAGCAGATTGGGTTTGAAATAAGACACTATCCAGAGATTTTGCCCTCATTTTGCAAGAACTTTATGATCTGAGTTCATGTTTCCTATAGGCGCAAGACGCTATAGTTAATTACCACTCCCAATAACGAGAGAAAACTTTTGATTAAGGCTAGTTGTTTAACAAATACGTGGTATTTGGCGTATAGTAGCAGCATGAGTTTAGCTTTTTAGATTTAATGTTTAAAATTAAAAATTTCCCCATCTTGCACTTAAAGCAGACGGTAGGGGAAGTGATGATGGACCCGATCAAGATCCTATGGTTCCGTCATCTCAGGTCATCATGGTCCCTGGTCTACTTTGTCATAGGAGGTAGTCAACCCAACCTAACAAAAGGATCATTATTGGCAGCCATGAGTTGCGTCGTTCAAGGGTACCTTGTAGACCTGAGATGAGTATTTGTCTAAGAGATAAATTTGAATCTACCTTAGCTAACAGATGGCTTTATGTTCTATTTATTATATCTTATTAATTCATATTTTAAGAATTTGATGCCGTCGGGGAGGAACATATGACCATAACCATAAAACAGTGGAGTCGTTGGACGAGGCCACTAGGTTATAGGGTCACGGTCATAATCGTAACCACGTGGAGCCTATCTGGCCAGGCCACGAGTTCTTTGCGGAGCCATTCGGGCTAACTTCCTATCAGAGGACCAATGCCTCATCTTTACTGGAAAGAGACTGTTTGAGAACAAATCTTAATAATATTCTTGACCGAACATTATCCGGGTGGATTTTCGAACTTGTCCGCCTCGAAAAATTGTTATGTAGGGTGGATGGATTTTGTTTTAAGCGTTTGATGATTAATTTCAATTTTAAATATTTTGAATTTTGATATTTTCTTTGAGTTTTGGGTTTTCAGGGGCATTTGGGAGGGGCATCTTAATTGTTTATGAACCTCTCTGGTTGAGATTTTCTGTTAACAGGATCATCATCAGGATTTTAGTGGTCAATTTTCATTATGTTGATTGAACCTTATGGACTTTGTCGATTTGCCAATAGAGGATCGGGCTATTATTGGCTTTATGCTTTTATTAGTGAATTTTCCTGATTATGAGTCTTGACGGTCTAATGTGAGTGTATTAAAAAAATATCTCTACCCATACATGTTATAAATATAATCATGCACTACACTCACCGCTCCCAATAGGAGATGGAGTTCTGGTGAGGGTTTGGCTTAGATTGGGGTGCACAAAAGAAGGCAGGGTCGAGTCGATCAGGCTGAGAAGCTGGGTCTGTAATGGGCTAGGTAATGGTGTTGACCTCCGCACATCTACCAAATCAGCGCGAGCAAAGGGACTTGAATTAATGACTTGAGTAACAATCAACGGGTGCGACGCTTCACTTGATTAGTCAAACAAGCTCCGATCTTCAAACAGATTGTAGAGCTGAGATCTAAGCATTGAGTTTGTCTATGAGGGATCATCTTGCAGTCGAATCAAATAAGAATGGTCTAATTTTGCTATTGACACCTAAAATTGACACGCTACGCTACCCAAATGGCGTCCGATCGCAAAATGGATTTAGTCATTGCATCCGGAACATCCGAGTCACCTAAAATCTACTGTAATTTTGCCCAAAGAAGTTTGCGCAGGAAAATCGGTGCGAATCTCAAAGCGATGACACATATTTCAAGGCGATGACGGTACGAATAATAAGAAATCACCTGGAGGATTAATCCTCTCATTTCCGTTTAAATTAATTTCATAATATATATTCATATATGTAAATACATATCAACATTTTTTTATTTTCAAATCCTTTACAAATCTTGATCAAATCTTCTATCACTTAGCCACCATTTCTGAACATGCCACGCTCCCCTTTGTTGTGATTTCTCCATTTCACACTCCCACTGTCGTTATTAAAATGAGAGCGAACGAAGCCTAGTCTTTCTTCCTCTTGCACACGAATGTCTCCATGCTCCCTCATGCTCGCAAACCAACTGAACTCCTTTTATTGTGCCTACTTCCACCTTCACGGTAGCATCAAATCCCGACTCAACCGCAAAGTCGTTTCCTCTACTCACGCAATCTCCTCTCTACTGATCTGAATCATACACCTCACACAAGCTGGCCTCTCCTCTAAAACCGCTCATCTCCAACGAACTATCCTTCCGATCCAAATTAATCCACACAAGCTCCTTTGACTAACCCCCATCCGATCCGAACACCCTGTAACCAAACTCCAGCCCGCCGTCTGCAATGCACGAAACCTAGCCGCAAGCTTCGACTACGTATACCCAACCCTTCTCCTCTTTTATGATCCAAAGCTAGACCTCGCCTATACCTCACAGCAGACCAAATCCAAACTTGCTATTACAGTTCTACCCTTCGAATTAGACCTTACGACCCCGTTAGACATCCGATTCTTTCGACCCAATGGATTGAACTCTTCACCCGACTGCTGCCTTTGATCCTCATGATCGCACAAAACCTCCCTATTCGTCTATTCTTCCCGATTCATCCAACCAAACAAGGCCGAGTTTCCTAATAGATCCCTTTCAACACAGATTGTGTCACGATCCGGCTCGGTTAGCTCGCAAGTGCGAGGCGGGAATGAAGATCAGACAGTAGCAAATAAAAACTTTCGCATTTCAATATACAAAACATCTTCAAATCATAAGAAAGAGCTACTAAAAATAAAACCAAAAGAAAATTTTTCTTTCTTTCTATTCATTTATGAACACATCAGCATAATAATTCAAACATAAATTTTTCCAAAATATGAAAGATGTCCAAAAACCTATTCTTACATTTTATCTCTCGTCGTTCTACTCAAAACATCAAAAACAAAAAGACAAAACATGTCGCCCGTCGTCTCCTTACGACGGTACGTAAGGGGAGGTCTATCCGCCATTATCCTTTACCAGATCCTCCTGAATAGTGTCCCACAACATTGGTGAGCCATAACTCAGTAGATAAATGCTTTTCAATTATATTTCAGAAAACAAGGTAAAGAGGTAACATGTATGCCAATGCTTCTAGTATAGGAACAATAAACATGTCATAACATTTAACTAACATGCCTTAAATAAGTCATCAATTAAGTCTCTTTCCTTGGATAAGCTTACAACCAATTTCATTATACATTGCATGATTTGTTTTCATGTTTCATGTGATGTTTCTTATGCATATAATATAATACATAATTTATAATCATCTGTCTCAGGAGTATCATTTGTACTGATCATGTACATTTTATTTGGCCATTCCTTTACTATATGGTTCAAAAATACTCCTTTACCATTTGGCTCAAAAGAGCCCTATTACCATTGCTCAAAAGAGCTCCTTTACCATTGATACTTCCGCGTCAACATGCACATGCATATATTCTTTACATAATCATAAAAAAGAACTTTAGCATATCCTTCATGCATATGGTCTATTGTCCCATAAGGTGCTACATGATTACATGGTTTCATGAGAAAATACATGAGCTATGTACTTTCTTTAATCATTACATGAGAAGGATAAAATTGTATTACAAACTACCACATGAGAAAGACATTTGCATTGTAAACTATCACATAAGTAAAACATGTGCATTGTAGTAGGCATATGATTAAGTGTCTCTAAATTTTTCTACATGAGTACATATTATT